TGCTCCTCTGTCATGATCAGAGCAAGCATTTTGTTTGTAGAACTGTTTACTGTAAAAGTTGCGTAGTTTATAATAGTAATTTGGTTGTTTAAATGGAAGCTCTGTGCAGTTGCCATCTAAGGAGTCTTGTGGCTGTTTCTGTGCCTCACCTGGGGGTGTGTGCAGATTAACAGACTGCGATGCATGAGAATGGTGGTCAGCCAAGACCTTACTGGCCTGTGTGTCAGATGAGCACTCGTGCAACAGGTTTGTCCCGTAACCGTCACTGGCACAGCTCCCATCTGCAGCCAAAGTATTCTGCAGTGAAAATACACTATTACAAGGCATGCTGGCTGCTTGCTCTACAGCTGTAGAAGATTTTAAAAAGGTGTGGCAAATGTTCAGCACATTTTGCACTTGGAGACACTGTGCAATGTCCAGCATAGCTTGTACATTGTCCTGACTAAGATCCAGGTGAGAGGTGTACATGAAGTCCAAGATCTGGCCTATGCCACCTACATTTTTAATGTCCAAGTGAAATACATCGTTCTTCTGGCCTGAAGAATTCTGGAAAAGGGTCCTGATAAAATAAGGCAAATACTCAAATACAAACAGAAATAATTCACAGGCACTTTAATAAGAAAAATACACATACACCTCAAATAGACTGTCTGGTATGAAACAATTTATACTCTAAGGCCTTAGCTAGAGTGCTGTATTTTTACAGTCTCAAAATGTCTCAATTACTTGTCATATATTAGTCCTACATTAGTGCACTTAAAGTATAAATAAAAACAAATGATCCTTTATATAATTTCAATTTTGTATTTTTTAATGATTTGAAATGACACCCTATCCTTGTGGTTTCCTATCCACTGTTATTCACATATTAAGTGCAGTGGAGTATTTTCGGACAATTTTCAAAAATTGCTTTACTCAGAATGGTGTTTCTCCTTTCATCATGGCAAAGAAAACAGGACATATGAAATTTGCTAGTAAAAGGGAGAAGATAAGACCTCAAAGTCAGCTAAACTCTTCTGGCAACTGAGCTTGTCCATCAAACTCTATCAGTAAATCTTATTAAAGTTCTTAGTATTAGTTCTTTCTCCACAAATATACAGGAGGATGGTGACATTAAGCAAGAAGATGGCATTATTTTCAATCTATTACCTCATATCCAAAGAAGTACTTTTTTTTACTGGCACTAGATGACAACCAAGTAAAAGAATAATGAAGAGCCTAAGCCAGCAGTGCAACCAATACCCACTGAATTGTCATTAAATCATTAAAGTGAATGAATTCACAAAACTTACTATTTGATGTAAAGTATTCTCACATTCAGAGCTGTAGCTCTTCACATTCACAACTAGTCCTAGATTAAGTGGGTTCATACTCTGTCTCAATCAAGAACTTCACACCCTCCCATTAAAATCCCCAGTCTCTGACCTGATACTCTCACAGCAAACAATGACATATAAACAAACGGGGTCAGGTCACTCCTATGTAGTTATTTTCCTACGCTACGAAATGCCCCAAACTTGATGGTTCCTCTTTGTGGCCAAACTCTCAAATTAGGTTTTGTTTAAAGGTGGGCATAATATCAATGAGCTCTAAATCTTAAGGAAATGAGACCCTATGCCCAAACTTTAGAAATGCAGAGGTTACTCTGAAGCCAGTGCTGACATCAAAATTCTTTCAGAAATCGAGACCATCCTATCCAAAATCAAATCAGAACTATAATGAACAGATCTGAGTTGAGAGTCTAAATTAATTAGCCTCTTATATCCTATTGAATTTTAATAGGAGTTGAGTGCTTAGTTCTTTTTAACTACTTTAAAAAATTCAGTCTTTGAGCATAATTGCACTTCATCAGCAGGATTACACCACTAGAAGAGAAAAAGGAACCTCTTATCTTTTTTCCCTGGTTGTAACATAGAAATAATTTTCTTACTTTTGAGATGCTTCAAAAAACAAGGTCTAAAAACTGCCAGATCTAACAGCTTACTCATAACTAATGTAAAACACTAAGTTAGGAGATCCAGCATCCTCCAAAATTTGGAGGGTCAATTGAGGGCAGCACAGAAGGGAAAGAAACCAGTGATATGGCATAATGGGTCACCTGTATACTGTAAAACACAGTTGTTATCTCTGAGAATCTGTTCTAAACAGAGATTCAATAATAACCTATATAGTCAAATTTTATTTTGAATATATGATTGATGAAACAAGTCACATTATTCAGAAGTGAATAATGTTTCATCAGTTATATCCCTTATCTGGCTCTGTTTATGTACTGTACTATGTTCCTTCTAAGCAGTTATCTTTCCTTACTGAAATAGTGAATGCAGGTCTATGCCAGAATCCATTATATGAGGCACTATAAGCAAGTAAGGATCAGGAAAATGCCAACAATCCAACAGTGTAGTATGAATACTTGACACAGATTTATCTCTGGACAAACAATTTCCCTTTTCTCATTATGTTCCCAACAGTTACTTTACTCTGCAACTACCAGAAAAAAAATATCCTTCTCAAAGAAAACCTCAACCAACAGCATTTAATTATCATTTTAAAAAGAAGAATTTTCTATCACATACCTGAAATATTGACTGAAAGCAGCTAATACATTTTTGTGTGCTTTGAAGCATACACCTTTTACCACCAGCATGCAGTCACAGAGAAGCCCCTGAATGCGCTGTTCATGTAGCTGCTGGAGAAGATGACAACTATGGCTAGCAACAGTGTCCATGCTAGAAAATCACTTAAATTACCTACAATGAAATAAAATGCTAAGATGAATTTTAAATATTATATTGCAAAATGAATTTAAAATATTAGGAACATTTTCACAGTTTGTTTCAGCTTCCAAAGGAAACAGACTACAGTTTACACCTGCAATGTGAGCTCTAATGACACTTTTCTGATTAAAGATGAGTTGCAGTACTGCTCACTGTAGATGCACAGCAACATACATAGGAAATACTGATTTTAATGAAGTTTTGCTTACAACAAAGAGCTTCTGCAAAAATCTAATGGTGTTGCCAATAAATTGAACTCCATAACCAGAAAAAAATCACACCTTGATTTAGACAACTTGGACAAGAACTAGATTCTAAGGCAAAAACACATCACGCCTGCAAAATTAATATCATCTGTAAAGGTAAACCTCAGTTTCCTCACCCTCTAAACTGTAAGGGGAGAATATAGTACTAGTATTATTGAAGACATATTTGCTGCTGTCCTAGCTAAATACATTTCCCATGTGGATCTGATGAGATATAGTAATTTTTTAATACAATATAAATGAAAAATATAAATATAAATGAAAAAAAATCCTTCTTTGAATAGGTTGAAAATACAAGTAATTCCCACTGAACATATTTACATTCAATTCTATGCTTCCTTTTTTCTAAAGAAAGACTTAATTCTTCCCCTGCACACTTGTAAATGAGAACTCCAACTATTAGGGCAATTGGAACTTCTAACTTTCTAACTAATGAAGCAGAAAGACCACCTTGGGTTAAACATGACCAGAAAGTGGTTGCCCCATTCTCAATTCTCATGGGGACCAAAGGTTCCACTTTTTAGTTTATCCTGTTACTCTGTGATTCACTGCCTCCTGCTGTATTACAATGTGGGCTATTATATTGTGCTCCTTCTCTGTGAACGCTTATCATGTCTTCTACCAGGCTCTCAAATAAAGAAACCACATCTGTTTGCCAAGCAGTTGCTTTCTCTGTGTGCGTCTCCCACCACGGCATCCTGCAAATACTTTTGACAACCAGCGAACTGCCTCTCAGCCATCAGGTGCCTGTCTCCCAGCGGGAAAGGCGAGCATGGAGAGCCGCTCCCGAACACGGGGAACCCCCGCAACACAGTCGCTATTTATGATGTGTGAGTATGATTAAGCCTGGCCCAGCTGAGCCCAGGCTCGAGGTGTCGCACGGAGAAAGGCACAGAGGGTACAGGGGAGAGGGCCCCGAGGGGAGAGCGGGCTCTGGCCGGTGTCGGAGCAGCCGCTGCCGCAGGGCCGGGGCCGCGGGCGGGGGGGACGCGGCGCCGCCCGGCTGAGGTGGGAGAGCGGCCGAGGGGCGGGAGCCGGCCCGGCCCTGCCCAGCCCAGCGCTTACCGGCTCCGGCCACCTCCCAGCTCCATCCCCGCCACCGGCCACTTCCGCCGCCGCTCCTTCCCTTTCCCTTTCCCCTTCCCTGCCCTTCCCGTTCCGCTGCGCAGCGCGGGGCGGGGCAGGGGCGGCGCAGGCGCCGGGCGGAGCGGGGCCGGGACGCGGCGGGAACAGGGCGGCGGCACGTGCCGCGGGAGGCGGCGGCCGCTGAGGTGCGGGGGTGCAGGGGACGGGAATGGGAATGGGAGAGGGAGCGGGAGAGGCGGCACGGCACGGCACGGCACGGCACGGCACGGCAGCAGCGGCTGCCTGCCAGGAGCGCGGGTGGCGGCTACGCTTATGGCCGGGCTACCCCTCGGCAGCGCCGCTCGCCTAGACCCGGCCGGGACGGGTCTGCTGAGGGGAGCGGGACGGAAGGGCCGGGGGAAGTCGTGCCGGGAAAAGGAGGCGGATCGGGGTGGCGGGTACAGGGATTGCTGGTTCCTGGGTTGGGGGTTAATGTTTCCCTGGTTGGGTGGTGGTTAGGGGTGGTGGGGGGTCAGTGGTTCTCGGGTTGGGGCGGTGGGTATGGGGTTTAGTGGTTCCTGGGTCGGGGTCATGGATATGGAGGTTACTGGTTCCCGGTTTGTGGTGGTGGGTGTGGGGTCACTGGTTCCTGTACTGGGGGTCACTGGTTCCCAGGTTGGGGTGGCAGGCACAGGCTGGCACAGGTGGCAGGCTGATTCCTCGTTTGGGGTGGCGGGTACAGGGGTTACTGGTTCCTTGTTTGGGGGTTACTGGTTCCCAGGTTGGGGTGGCAGGCACAGGGATTGCTGATTCCTCGTTTGGGGTGGCGGGTACAGGGGTTACTGGTTCCTTGTTTGGGGGTTACTGGTTCCCAGGTTGGGGTGGTGAGTACTGGGAGTGCTGGTTCCCGGGTCACTGCTCTCCCCTGTGCTCAGGGTGTCAGGCAAGGCGAGCTCCTGCACCTGCAGGATGGGACTGCTCGCCCCGTCTGTGGGTGGGTGCACGCACAGGTGCTTTCCGGCCATCCGCGTGTTTTTTTCAAGCCGTAAGTGTAAGACCTCTTTGTGTTTCTAGGGTTGAGCTTGTATGTGGAGGAAGGAGGTTGTACCCACTTCTTGGAAGCTCCTGACCACTTGCCAACATGGTAGTTTTCACATGCAATGCATGTGGAGAAGCTGTGAAGAAAGCACAGGTTGAAAAGCATGTGAACATCTGCAGAAACTGTCAGTGCCTGTCTTGCATGGATTGTGGCAAGGATTTCTGGTAGGTAAAGGATGTGAAATAGCTTTTCTCACTCTGCAGAGGTTGTCACAAATAGAAGTTTTTTCTGGGGTCTTTTAGAATTAAATGTGACTATGTCTGAATAATAATATTTGTATTTAAAAAATATACGTGTTCTTATAGAAATTCAGGCTTAATCATCCGTATTTGAACCTCACAGACAGCTAAACCTCAGCAGTAAACAGACATCAGCGACAGAGCTTTCAGCTTCTGATCAACAGCTGTTATTTACTCTGCTGCTGCAGAGAGAGTGAAATTGGCAATAATGTTCTTTTTGGAACATACTTAATTTGTTGATTAAGTGTTGCACGTTTCAAAGGACTGAAGCATCTCTGTGACCTATGGTTAAAAATCTTGTATGTTCAGGGGTGATGACTATAAGGAACATGTGAAGTGCATAAGTGAAGACCAGAAATATGGTGGAAAAGGTTTTGAAGCCAAAACTAACAAAGGAGATGCCAAACAGCAGGAGTGGATTCAGGTAAGTTTGTGTTATATACAGATATGATAAATAACTATTGTTTATAATCGTTATAGACACTAAAAAGGCTGTACTGGATCAAACCAGAGATCTGTTTTTCCCAATATCCTCAGCTTTCTTTTGGCATGTCTTAGGCAGGTCTTTTGCTTATCCTGGTAAGAAATGCATCTTTTGTTTGTTTTGAATCTATCTCTTACTAGTTTGATTTTATGTAGTTTTCTCAGTTGCACACTGAGTGTGTGCTCCAGGCTGAGAAATTCTACCCTGCTCAGTTTTTCTTCACATGTAAGTTATCTCCTTGGTCCTCTGAAGTCTTCCCAGTTCTACTGTATGCTTCTGAAATAGAGTTGAAGATATGGATGAACCATAGATTTACTGTGTGTCATAATGATGTTTTCTGTGTCCTTCTTTGTATCTTTCAAAGTGATTTTTATCAGTTAATCTATTTTTGGTTTTGTTTTTTTGCTGCTGCTGATCACTGTGCTGGCATTTTCATGTAATTGGCTATTTTAAACCCAAGATCTTGTGTCTAAGCTCCAGCGATCAACTTGAAGCCTGCCATTTTAGATGTGAAGTTAAGATTGCTTTTCCTTTGCATCCTGCTTTACATGAATTTGTGTTGGCTGTAATTTACCCTTTTATTATCTAGTCGCTCATTTTCTTAAAATCTTTCTGCAGTCCTTATAGTCCTCATCCTGAATAGCTTCACAATCATCAGGAAAATTTTCCTGACCTCTTGTCAGATATTTTGTAAATATGTTGAACAAGAGAGGCTCCAGCACAGATGAAAATGTCTAATACCCTTTCTGTCTTGTGCAAGAATCTGCCCTCTTAAGGCTCTTCATTGATTTGTGGAAGGAACTCAAACACATTTTTAAAACCCCATTAGTAATAAGTTAATCACCTTCATACATGGATTTGTTGATTTCTATCTTGTATAGAACACAATCTAACAAGGTACTAAGCTACACACACACGCAAGGTATATGAGTAATACAGTCAAAGATGAGTAGTGGCTGAGATTGAACATGGTTTGAGGACATTGTTAAAGGCAGCGTGATGTGAGAGCTATTGCTCATGAACATTGTAAGCCTACCTCAGAAGTAAGTTCTTCCTACACAGAAAGCTGAGGGATTATTACCAAAGACCCTTTTCCAATAGTCTTAACACATCCACAAAACCTTAGTCCAGGAAGACTCTCCAGTGTCCAGTGGCTGCATCTTTAAGTTCCAGGAAGCTCAGCCGTTTTTCACCCCCACAAGCAGCAGTGCTGTTCAAGGAACTGCCGTGAGGAACTGCCCTGGCCTAATCTCTGTTCTCTTGTGCTGACACCCATAGCACGGGAATATCCTGAACAGTCTTACAGGGATTAGTGGTTGCGGAAGCTGGCACTGCTGCCAAAAGAAAAGGATATCAAACTGTGGCATCTGAGTAAGCCTGATTTTTCACAATTAACTCCAGAAGCTTGCAAAAAAACGATAATTTGACAATTGCTTTTCTTAATAAAGGTCTTTTTCATGCTGCAAGAATCCCTAATATGGTACAGTTTCTTTACTTTAAAATGTATTTATTACAGATTATAACTTGTACATCAGAAAGCACTGGTGAGCAGTCCTGCTTGCCTGTGCTTACTGTATAGGTATAAATGCTTAGATAGGTAACTTTGATGCATCTAATGATCTGTGATTAAACCAAAGATCAGTCTTTTTCTCATGCATTTTGAACATTTCCTGTGAACAGACTGTACCAGCTGTGGGTGCTGGGTGATTCTCTCCAGTGTACTTCAAACTTGCACACCTTGGATGTACCATTAGATCCTTATGCTGCTTTTCTGATTTAATTCTGTTTTTCTTATTTAGAAAATCCATGAAGTAATGAAGAAACCAAATATAAGCCCTAAAGTGCGGAACATCCTGGAGCAGATGCGTGCCTTTGATAACATTCCAAGAAAAAAAGTAAAGTTTCAGGTATGTTTTAATGGAGATTTGTAGTAATCTATGCAGTGAGCTTAAAAACAGACTTTCTTAGGAAGTGCTACTCTCTTTTAACAAAGGTGGGACAAATTGCTTATTTGGGCATTGGTACAGATGGTGTAATGCCTGACTTTCAAATAGGCAATATTTGTAAAATACATTTCCATGCTTAAAAGGACTCTTTGTGTGCCAGTTTAATTAGGTATTAAGCCAGAGACTCACCATTTAAGCATAATCTTTAAATTGTTCCTTTTTCAATACCTTTCTTTTTTCCCCTATTTCCAATTTCTATTGAATGTCCAAATTCTTAGACATACTTTTAAAGATTTTTTTATTTCTCTGGCTTTGTTTTTCCCTGGTGAAGGCAAGATCCTGTTTTGAGAATTTTCCTGTTACTCAGTATTCTGACAGAATCTTCCACACTGCATGCTTCACTAAAGTAAATTCCAAATGTTTCATGTGGTATCAGTAAAGAATTACTGACAAGATGCCTTTTTTTTTTTCTCCTCTCTGTTTTGTGCCTCAGATGGTGAGGCTGAGAGAAGATCATGCTTGCTCCCAAAGCACTCAAATAGAACCTAATAGAGCTGTGGTGAAATTGCTGCTAGTGAGCTGAAGGTTAAAATATTTTTCTAGAAAGTTAATGTTCTAACCAAGGAAAATTATATTGTCAAGAAGCCGCTTTCTTTTTGGTAATATATGTTGCAGTGAAAGATCAAATGTTTTTGCAGTTCATTGTTCAATTTACTAATGCACCTTTCCTGGGATTTTCAGTGCAGTGCAAAAATCTTTACATTAGGTTTTATATAGAATTCCATGTTTCTAAAAGTTGATCTGTTGCTGATACTGTAAACAGATAAGTAGAAATTTATGGCTTTGTTTCACCAGGAGCTCCTGCAATAACCCAAACAACTTTCAAATGTTTGCATCCAGACATTTGTTTAAATTTTACTTTTCTGTAATAAACTAAGGTATCCATTGAGGAACATGACCAGCGTGTGTCCAGTACACAAATAAATAAGATCAGATCATTAATGTTTTAACTCATGGGAACAGTCAGAAGGTTTGGCAGGACATTAACATAACCACTTGTATTAAAAAATTTGAGGATTATCTTCTGTATATACTTAACCTCTTTGGGATTGCTATTGGTGAGGCAATTCAGAGAGTGGTGTAGCCTCATAACAGTACATAGGCATTATGTACATAGCCATAGTACAATTTAGTAAGGAGGTTTGAGAGATTCATAGCAGTAACTTGTAACCAGATCTTAGTCAGAAGCAGTGATTAGATTCTTAAATGAAAAATAAACCCAAGAACCAAATATATGGTAATTAAGAAAGAAAATCAGAGGTGCACATTTTCAGTTATTGCTGTTTTTTCCCTGCACAGAATTGGATCAAGAACAGTTTGAGAATTACTGACAGCACTTTACAAGATCAGGTGTGGGATGTTTTCTCAGAAGCAACCAGAAAGGTAAGTTAAGTTAGAGGTACAACATCATACAACAAGAATGTGGTTCAAATGCTGGAAGGAAAGCCTTTCAGACTCCTTTTGTAGATGCTGGCAGAAACATTGTGTCCTGTTGTTACCATGGATTCCATTATAATGTAATATTTCTAGACTGAATTGCTTACTTGTGGAACAGACTGTCACTGAAGTAGTTGTGAATACTGGGTAGGTTGTGATTGAAAACTTGGACACAGTGACACAATTGTGACATGATAATCAGAAGGCTAATTCAACTTAATGCTACTAGTACATAAAGAAAGGAAAATCCACTACTTTTATCTTTGGTTCCAGTCTTTTAGCACACACTGGGATGGAATCAAATATCTTTTCAGAACTTTATTGGCCCCAGATTTGTGTGCATTGGACTGAAAAATTAACAGCACCCAGTTCACCTATCTTATTAGTGGGGAGAGAGAAGATCCTCCAGTTCATGACGGAAATGCCTCCCACTTCTTTGTCCAAATTGTGCACTCACCCTGACCTTTTTGTCAGTGCCTAATTCTTTGCTATTTCATTACTAGCTTAGCATGTTTTGGTAGGGTGTTGTTGTGATTGTGTACATGTATTGCTTCTATTAGAAAGCTGTCACAGATCTCATTTCTCTGTTGAGGTAAAGATGCTCTCCCCCCACATTCTTTTGAGGAAGAGTGTAGGCATAGATTTGGCATTAATCCCCTGTTGATTATGTTTCATGTTTCTGATTTGATGATTCCAGTTAAATCTATTTGCAGTTTTTCTGAAGAATCCAAATATAAGAACCAGGAAGGAAAGAAACACATTTTTTAAAGGATATGAACATAATATTAGCTCTGGACACTGAATTTGAAGTACATTGTTTTGCTGGAACATTAATACTGAGTCAACAGAACTTCATTTAAGTCATAAAATATTCTCTCTTGACTTAAACTAATTTTTAAAGAAAATAAATCTTCAATCTGAAAAACTTCTATTTTAATACAAACAATTTGCACTGTCCATAGAGCGTAGCATTAAAGTAAAATATATAGCACAGCTTTCTTGCTCAGATAATTTCAATGCACCTTTAAGAGTTCTTAAAAAAAGTCTTAAGATATTCTTTGTAAAACATACCTTGAATTTTATGTACTCAATGGACATTCAAATTTAATTGAAATTACTCCTTACAAAACCATGTTGGTGTTAAGTTGCCTTGTATAAAGATCTATTATATTACTAAATAGCCACATTAACATTTCAGTAATTGTATTTCACTAGTAATTATTAAATTTAAAGTTAAAATTAAATATTATTTTTTTCATTAATATATTCATTCTTCAACAAGAAAATAATTATCAGCCAAGGAATGTTAGAAGAAGACCAAATATATTAAGGTGAGAAAAGTAAAATTAAAACAACCAGAAGTGCCTTTGTTAACATCATGCAATAATGGTTTGTTGTCCCAGACATATCCCAAGACAGGGAACTGGGTGGCAAAATTAAGATTATTACTCAAGGGCTGTATATTTGGGAATAGGTTCTGTATGTTGCTGTAATGTTCTGCTTGTGTAAATCAAAGAGTTTTCACTCCCTTAATTACATTTAGCAATTATGTTAAAACACGTGGACATTTACTTCAACTAGGAATTATATATGTTGTAAGATAACACTTCTTCTTTGACATTAATTAGCATTTAGTCTTTAGTTAAAAGAGGAATCAGACACACTCGTGCTATTTCTCAGGTATCTGATGTTATCAGATGTAAGAAATTTAATTGATTTTGAGAAATTAGTGTTCTTCATGAATTTTGTAGTAGGGGAAAGTTGCAATGTCAAAACAAGGTATGTAAAAATTGTAATAATCTTCTTTTTCAACAAAAGATTTCAAATGAAAAAGAACAGGACAAACCACAACAGAAGGAAGAGCGCCAGTCTGCAGAAACTGAGGAAAAAACAGAGGCAGAAGAAAATGGAATTACAGATGATAAAGTTGAGAGGAAAAAGAATAAGAGAGAACGAAAAGAAGAGAGACAAAAGAACAAAAAAAAGGAGAAAAAAGATTTGAAATTAGAAAACCAGTCAGAGGTAAAAAAGAGTAAAAAGTCCAAGAAAGGAAAGGAGAGCGTGGAGAATGAATTTGAAACAAATGGAAATGGCCATCAGAGTGAAGTTGAAGAGGAAACAAAAGTAAAGAAACGCAAACATAAACATGTAGAAGGTATTCATTATACAACTTATATTCTTGTTTGTTTTGAAGATGCTTTTTCTCAGTTCCAGAGCTTAATAAATTACCTAAGTTGAATTTTTAAGTAGGAAGCTGCATATACAAATTAGATTATTTTTTAACAGTGATTGCACAGTTCTTTTGTATAATCTGAACCTCTTAGCAAATATAAACTCATGTTAGAAGAACAGAACTTTAAGTCGTGTCAGAACTTTTCTTCTAGTTTTAAATTTTTTTGTGTATGTTTATCCAATTCCAGCTCCAGAGGAACCTCCTATCAAAACAAAGAAAATGAAAACCGAAAACACCAATGACAACAAAAAAAGTGTGGAAACTAATAAAGGTATTCTTAAAGGGACAGTTTAGTTAATTTAGAAACTACCTTGCAAAAGACCTAATGCAGAATATAAATACAGTGCTTCTGCAGGAAACCATGAAATACGTTGTGCCGCAGCGTACATAAATGTATATTCAATATACACACCAGGTCAGAGTAAGTAGCATGTGCTACACTTCACACCTGACACTGAATTACTTCTCTCAGTTGTTGCTTCAGCTGTGCTGGCAACCTCTGGCTCCATTTGGTTCCACTGGGCAGTGAGGAATGTGATGTCTTTGTTTCACCACAAGAAGTCTCTTCCCTGCACGTTAGCCAGCACAGAGGAAAAAGCTCTCTTGTACCTCCTGGTATCTCTCATATCCCCATTTTTGCTCAGTGAATCATAAATTGGATTTCAGATGTGTCAGACCTTAGTTTATGCTTGGATAAAGCTACTTCTTCCTATCATCCAACACATTATGGCTGTTGCTTGAACATACAGATTGTTATTTGAGAACTACCAATTAATGACCTCTGAAGGTGGTATTTGACTGCCCATGCTCTAAGCTTGAGGAGACAGGACCTTCCTAACTATACTAGAGAAGAAGACCTGGCAATGCCTAATTTTCCTAACACCTAATTATTTTCTAGTTAAATTCAACTGGAACGGAACCATCAAAGCTGTTCTGAGACAGGCTCCAGACAACGAAATTTCAATTAAAAGACTAAGGAAAAAGGTATGGTAAAACATTGGGGTTTTTAATCTCCTCTTGTCTTGTGAATTTCTTTCTGTAATGCTGAAGTTTGTAAAATCCTGGTTTGACATTATTTAACAGAACATCAATTGACAGAATGTCAACTGAAGGATGGGCTCTTTATTGCTTACTGAGTTACGGAAGAAATTCAGTGCTAATTCTGCAAAGAAATTATAGCATCATAGATTCTATGCTACTTTTAATACAGTAACATGAATGTATTACTGCTTAAAGTGGAGTCATCTTTACTAACTAAAAACTGTTCCTCTGTCTTTGTGCAGGTTATAGCTCATTTTTACGCAGTAGGTGCTGAACAGTACAAATCAGAAGAGGAGATCCTTGTCACATTTAATAAGAAAGTGAATAACAATCCCAAATTTAAAGTTCGGAAGGACAAAGTGAAACTTGTGAAATAAAAGTTTGCATACTTTGCTGTTGTGTTTTAATCTTGCAGAGGGAGTCAAACTCTTCTGTCACCTGTACAAATACTATGCATTGGTCTGGAATTGTATATGTGAAAGCAGAATTTAACTTTTAATACTGGGCTCGTTTTTCTAGATTGATCACAGAACATTTTCAGATACTTTATTTTTTGATTTTATGGAAAATGTATATTTTCTGGTACAAGTTTTAAGAGACATTGACAATAATTACTGCCTACTGTATTAAAATTCTCCCAGTAATGGATATAATTTATAGGCATGAACGTTTTACCTGGACCTAGGTTGTGTGGCTTTTTGCAGAAACTATTTTAAGAGCAAAGAGGATTTTCATATTAAAAAACCCACTGTGGAATAAATGTTTTGTTATGTTCAAATCCAAAATGGCATGACTGATATCCCCTTTACACAGTGTAGCTAGTGTATGCAGGCTTTGATAAACCGCTAAGTCCGTGTTGTAAAATGCGTAATTATAGTGTCTCAGATTTGTGTGTGCAATATTGCACATTCAGTGAAAATCTAAAGACTGAGTTACCTGGATATGCACTGCTACTGGAAGTCTTGATTAGTAATGCAACTGCCTTCAATATAAGTGGTTACATGGACCAAAAATTGACTGATGAAACCAATTACTTTAAAATACCACCTTAAATATAATAAATCTTGTCACTTTATGATTGTATAATAAATCCACAGATTATAAATTATTTGAAGAGGCTGTTACAGTGCAGTCACCAAAACAATTTAAGTAGTCCAGATTTGTTACACATATGTAAGAGACAGAGTTGCCTGGGGAAAGTTACTTGAAGTTTTATAGGTTTTTACTGAAATGCAAAATACTTCCATCTAGAAAGTTTCCTACCATGAAATAGTCTGTTACAAACAGTGGTAGAAAACAGTTGATGGTATGGTGTTTATTTTAAAAAATTGCTTAGTGATTTCAAGTAGGTACACTTCTATAAAACTCCATAGTAAAAAATATCTGAATTTATAGAAATATTGAATATATTAAAAGTATTAATATGAAAAAATTACCTGTCTGATACACTGGGTCCCGTTTTTCTGAGTACATATTTGTTTTATAGAAGTTGCAATAAAAGCACCTAATAAATGTAAGATCTCTTCGGTAAGTGTTTGTTGTTAATTCATGAAAAATGGTTTTGGAGATAAATAGAATAAAATTTATTTACAGACATGAGTAGAGAAGTTGAGAACATTTCAAAAGTTTAGGGGGGTTTTTGTTGTTTTTTTTTTAAATTTAGGACACAAAATGTCAGTGAAATGGGAATCAATACAGTGCAATTAATCTCTTCACTCACTGTATTAATTTTACAACAGATTACATTAAGATCACAGACAGGTTTGTGAAAGTAATTGTTTCATGTTTTCATGGGGTTTTTTTGTTTGTTTTTTGTTTAGAATTAATTCCAAATTATGACATTCCCTTACACTTCTCATCTTCAATTGTTGTTGACCACAGCACATGTTTGACACACATATTGAAGCGTCTGCTGAATTTCTTCCTACACTTCAAAAGGCCAATTCCATGTCCACAAACCAGGATTATCTTCCATCTCTCTGCCCTGGCTTCCATCGTCCAGCTGGTCCCAGCTGCCTTGTTGTGTTGTGGGAGGATATTGTAGCTGGGGTCAGTTCCTGAGCAGGGCAGCAAGTTGTGGAGTGGCACTACTGGCCGTGCTACTGCTGGCACCTGCAGTACCACACGTGTTCTCAATAAGGGCCCTGCTGTTTTCTTGATGCGCTCGCGAACTCATCAGCTGCATCTTTTTTTTTTCCTTTTTCAAACTGGTAAGGGCAGTTTGGATTATTTATGCTGTGCATTTGAAAATAAATATTCACAGTAAATTCATACTTTGGAGTATTGCAATCTGTCTTTCACATCTTGGGAGAATGATGGTTTCTCCTCATGAAAAGCACCAGCATTTTCTAATCTACAGACAAGGTGATCCATATCCGATGGAAACAAGAACCAAAAAGAAGCTCTGACGTCGTGCAACAGTATTTTTAAAGCATTTTAAGGCACCTTTCCCCCACCATTTTCTTTTTCCTGTGCTTTCAGGGCAAAGGGACATTGCTTAATGCCACACTGCAGAATCATGCAGCTGATGGATGTGCACTTTTTGTTGTGTTTTTCTCAGCTGCAACCAACCAACAGCAATATTCAGAAGGAACTTTCTTATACTTACAGCTGTCAATCTAGATTCTGAGGAAAAAAGAGGGAGCCCTTCAAACTTTTGCAGAAGCAGAAAAGCTACTGTAAAACATATAACTTTTAAAAAAGGAGATAGGGTAGCACCAGTATGAATTCTATTTTATGTGTTTTCTAGTTTAGTTGCATGAATTTATACCATTAAAGCTAGTATTTTAGTATAGTTTTTGTACAGAAAAATCTCAATAAATGAGAATGTAAATAGAGTTCTGATCTTACCAGTAAGACCTGGGTGTTATAGTATGAAAAAAAGTCATTAAATATTTACTTCGTAACTTCATATTTTACACTTGCATTTCAAATTGAGATGTGAAAACAGATAAAATTAATGTTAACAATTTACAGTTTTCCAGTATTCACTCAGTACTGTAACCACAGGGGATTACTTTGCTGTAACATGGATCAGGGTACTGAAAAATTAGTGCAAGAGAATGCTTTTATAAAGCTTCTCTTAGCATTTAATACAAATTGACAATATCATGTGGAATTTTTTAAAATTTTCTTTTCCACCAATTATATGTTTAGCGGTCACTGTTAATGTGAAGTCACAGTAAACTTAGTAGAGACCATCAGGTAACAGTAATGTAGCATTACAGAATGTTCCAGAATATGTTTTAGTGATTTTTTTAAACAGCATAATATAGAGCTCCATAATAAAATACGCCTTGCTGTTAAAGTTTTCCTTTCTAAAATAGTGCATTGGAAATTGAATGTCTGTGGCAGGGTGGGGAAGGAAGAAGCAATGTGAATTAGAAAATTGTTTCAAGCTAGTGGCTTTCACTATAAGTATAGTATAAGCACTTGAGCAGGGAGTTTAATCACTGGAAGAAAAAAAAATCTTCAAAGGACAGCTACTTATTTGTTGTGCTCAGCCCTCCACTGTTCTGGTGCATTAGAGTAGTTCATTCTTCTTTCTCCAGTGAAAACCGATCCTCCCACCTGGTGCTATAATCCGATTGCATCAGTACAATGTAGTCAGACCCCGACATGAGTAGTGGCTCGTAGCTGATGACCACAGGATACAGAGACCCAACATATGATTCCAGTCGGAAACTTTTAAGGCTGTAACACTCACCTTTATTAAGGAAATAAGAGAGCAAATATTAAACTTTTTGTGTGAGATAAGTGAAAAAAAGGCATATTGTTCTGTACATTGAGCTGTATTCACAGGTTACAAGATATCTCAGTCAATATATTCAACATTTACCCCTTTCTTCTCCCAATTTAGCCATCAAGAAAAAAAAATGAGTCCTCTAAGATTCTTTTCTGCTCTGTCAGCCAAGAAAAGCAGCATCTTATGTTTCCCATTAGTACTTTTACAGGAAGTGTTACTTTATATTGAATTCTAAATTTCACTTGGACCAGAGGAAGTTTTAGTAGTAACTTTCCTTTGCACTTGTTAAGACACAATTCTTTTTGCCCCTGTAATCTACTGCTTTTCTTTGCACTTCTTGGAATTCCTTTTGCACCTGAATCCTTGTGCTTTTATGCTCTCACAGTGTAAAAGTTGTAAAACCTTCAAGCTTTTTGCTTAAATTAAACTTTATTCTGCAAGACTTCACATCACAGAGCTTTCTCAAACACATCTTATTTTTTATTTATCTTTTCTTTTAAAATTTATTCTACAAGACTCAGGATTGTTCAGTCTTTGGAGACTGTGTGTTTTGCCCTTCTCACTAGATTCTTTGTATAAAACCTGCTCTTGCTACTCAACTTCATACCTGAGTTACAGCGAAAGGAAAATACTGACTTCCTACAGAAGTAGTTTTATAGTTTCTGAAATTACTTAAAAGTAATAGGAAAACAGAAATTGTGCCTCTGTATGCCTAGCCACCCATTAAACCACTATTCTCAAACTTCTAGGTGGAATGCATTAGTACTAAATTAGTATAGAAAGCCTAACTGAGGCCTGATTACAGTCAAAATGAACTCACCTATACTTGTTTTATTAGAAAAAGATGCTTTTAAGCATACTGGAATCTTCCTCTCAGGCAGCATGACATCCATCTGAAAGTATTCAAGTCACTACATCTCATTTAGGTGACAAACTGAATGAAAAATAACACCAGAATTCCACCTGCATTGCAGATGGCTCAAAATACACCATGTTTAGTCCTTCATTCTGTTTTTGCAGGAGCCATTTAGTGAATTTCCAATGTATAAATGTAAACCATGAAATGCACTTTTATGCATTATATTTTCTTCCCTTCTGCTGGCCTTTAGCTCTTGATCATGAGAAGGAATTCAAGGAGGAAAACACGCTGCATAATATCCATATGTGACAAAGGCTCATGTTTTCCGTGGATGAGACAGGACCAGAATTTTCTTCTAGACTTCTTTCTTATCATTAAAGCAAGTTCTTCACTTAATGCCTGCATTTCTGCTTTGAACTTCTAAATCAATTGCTAGTCTAAAAGGTTTGACTGACTCATACAGACATTTCTTAGAGTGTTTTAATAATTTTTTCCCGATCTATCCATTCTACCATTTACATTAACACATTTTATGGTCTGTTTCTACAATTTCTTTATCTTACACCATGAAATATGTTTCCTCTTGCTTCTTGCTGCTACAATTCTGTCTCAGCTGAACCTTTGAAAGTTCAGCTCTTTTGGTGAACTTTCAGAACTTAAGTGATTTCAGAGTTTAGCATTGGATAAGTTTTCCATGAGAAGAAAAAATATTAACTCAGCTGATACTCTTAAAGACCTATTCATATTAAGCAGATTAGTCAAAACAATATGGGAATTGTACTAACATCTCCAGCCAAAATTTCAAATTACTGAATTCAGTCTTCCTAAAGCAAACATCTTTCTCTTCCTGTCTCTCTTGGACAGTATAGCACTCTGTCAGTGTTCCCTCTAACTCTGTTGTCCAATTAATTACAATACCAGATAAAAATACATGAAAAATTGACCCTACAAGATACATAAGTGGTAATGGACTGTGAAGGATGATGGTAAAGAAAACCTGCTTATACATGAGTGAAGCATGTAAGAGCTTTGTTTTGTATTTACTTTTTTTCCACAGAAAAATTCTCCAGGCAAACAGCATGAGCTGGATCCCACACTCTACACATCAGTGAGATGTTGCTATGCTGAACACATGAACATGATCTGTAGTTTCCAATCTTGTTAACAGTGAGATCCACACGCCCAAGAACCTTTGTCCCTTCTTTTTTACATCAGTGAAATCACAGGCACTGGGGACACCAGACATCCCCAAAATTATAGTTAATATTTTCTCACAGCCTAAAATAATGTTAATCTCTACCAATGCAGCAATGAAGTCACATTGAAAGAGACCGATATTGCTGTACAGTGAATGTTTGATAAATAACACAGTTGAATGTCCGTGCCCACAACTGATAGTCTTTTCTGTGTGAATTAGATGTGTAATCTTCATTATTCAAAAACCAAACAAAACTTTAGGATGTTCCTAAGTGCCCTAAGTATGAAATTCTTGTCATATTGTTATAGATGCATGGTTGCACAGACGTTTTCCTCAATAAAGAAGTCGGTTTCAATAATTCCCAAGTGTTTCTTTTCCCACCCTCCCACATCTGGCTATTTATTTTTGCCTCTCCACCACCCCCTGCCTTTTTGCAGGCTTTTAAAACCAGATCAAATCCTCAAACTGAGAGGTATTATATACCACTACTGGGGATTGAGTAGTCAAGAACAATTATAGCTGGAGTACTGCTGCCAAATGCTTGTATCATTAAACTGTAGTCTTGGGAAAACACTTTGAGAGCCATTGTATTCCCTTAAGAAAGTAAGCATAGTTAAGTGAAACTAAACTCAAGAAATGATTTAGAAGAGACAGCAGGAAAATTTACTTAGCAACTTGTAGGAGAATGGTTTATCCAGATTTATTTTGGA